CCACACACCCTTCACAGCTCCACTGATGACATCAGCCCCAAAAAAACCCTCACAGCACAAAGGAATCAGCACCATCAAAACCCCACCAGGGTGAGCAATATCCACCCTCAGTACAGTCCCATCCTCTCCCTCACCACAAAAATCCCCATTGCTAATCCAGTCCCAGGCAATGGCTGGTCTGAGCTTTGCCTTTTCCTTTACTGGTCACTGTTTTAACTTCAAATTTCCCTAATAGTGTGTAATCTCCCTGGCTTTGTCTCAACCCACAAGCTTTTAAATCTTATTTTCTCCCCCATTGTTGAGAAGGGGGGTAAGAGCAGCTGGGTGGGCATCTGGCCAGCCCACCAGGGTGCCACTGCTCTTCTCCACAGAGAATTCCACAGGGGATCCCTCTGGGCACATCAATCAGCAAATAAAAGCTGAAGGCTTCAGGAGGTGGTGAATGTAAGCACCTCTGTTGTGTAAGAACTTCCTGGATAGGCTAATGTTTCAAATAACAATTTGGAGTTAACCTGCATTCAAAGCTTTGCTGAAAACCTCTCAAAGAATCCCAAACTGAGCAACTTCCAGGTGTGCAAAATATTGATGGTGGCTTATAGTGCCAATGTGCCAAAGGCTGGGAAACAGCCAATTTATTGGCATGGATCAAGTATCCCTGAAAACCAGGCTTCTTCCAGCACCAGGATGCTGGCTGCAGTGGCAAGACAGCAATCCCAATCCTCTGGGACTTCCCTCAGAAGCCAGATTAACAATTTTTTTGTCAATTATTACTCTAAAGCAATTTGTTGTTGTTGTTTCCTGCTCTGGTTATAGTAGCCAAATATATTTTCCTTCCAGAGAAGAGTTGGGAATCCAGGAACCTGCAGCCAGGGGAGGCAGCAATTAGTGGTTTGAAGTGTTAATGGGACCACAGTGAGAACTGGAAGTCCCTTGAACTCAGCTATTAGCAAATTAATAAAAGGGGTAACACGCTCTCCTGAGTGTTACAAATTTAGCACTAATTAGGACTTCTCTTTCTTAGCTATTTTAGGCAAGAAAATCTTCAATATCCTTTGTTAAATGTTAATAATCTTGTTTGTAGAAGTAAATCGTATGGAAACATTGGTTTCTCCACCCAGCTACAGTCTATTAAACTTTTTCCATTCTCCTTTTCCTTGTGACATGACTTACAGCTAGGTATTTTGTAATCAGTTAGCTTTATTTATCAACTCTTACCCCAGAGAAAGGTTTTCTTTGACTAAGACTAACCTACAGGCCATTAATTTGTCACAGTCCATGCCTGACTTCTCAAAGATCCCCCTTGACCGGAACATCAGTGGTCCAATTTATCTATATTTGTTTTATGTATTTATTCCTCATACATTCCAGATGTTAAACCTCATGGAGTTCTCGTAACTGGCAAGCATCTTTTTCTGCCAAAGATCTACACATGTAGATCTTTGTGTATTTTAACACTTGGGAATTAATCACGAAGGAAACTTAATCAAGTTTGCAATGATGAAAAGCTCTTAATTAGAGCAGAAGCCAAAATGTCCTCCTGCTCTTTTTGCACTGCCCAAATCTCATCGAAACCTTGCCTGAAGACCAGAAAACAAATCTCACAGTTGATTGGATATATCTAATTGTGAATTGATGTCTATGCTTTTGCAGATATGTTTCCAATCTTGCCTGGCGGCTGCGTTGGCCAATTTGCCCATACTGAGGAAATTAATTCATTTTTAACTACAGAGCAAAGCTGTGATGTTGGGCAATATATGTCTGCCTTTCTACAAAGAGTATTACTTGTTTCTAGCGAAATCAGTGCATTGCTAAATGATTGACAGAACCACAAAAGATTTAGCTTTTAATGTTTAGGAAACACCGATGGAGAAGAGAAAGCCCTACAGGCTGGCTGAGGCAGAACAAACTCACTTCCATTCAGCAAGAGCCATAATTGAGCATTAAAGAGGAAATGGAGATGGAAGGTTGCATCTTCACTGATGTCACTAAGTAAAAAGAGCATGTTAGAAGTAATCAGTGGGGAGCTCATGGTTTAAAACACACATGTGCAGGTGCACACCGACAGCAGTGCTGAGGACTGAAGCAGGCACTGTCTGAACATACACCATAAAGCCTGAGAAATACTGGGCCCTGTCAAGGTGGCTTTCACAAATTAATGCAAGGTGATGTTAAAATCTGTATGTTACAATCGATTAGAAAGGGTAGTTTGGCAGCAGGATTAATAACCTCTGAAACAAATGTAGCATGACAAGGAAGATTCCATGAGCAGAGCTCAGCTCAGAAGACTGTTTCATGTCTAGAAAAAATGAATGAAGACTGTTTCTAGTTAGCCTGTGGAGGGAAACACAAAATACAGTCATTTCTGTTTACTTCTGCTGAACAGCTAGTCAGAGAGTATTTTCTGCACTGTGTGAGCCTAAAGCAAGTGTTATTTTTACTTTTCTCTATTGCATGAGGTAGGATGCAAGTGGCGTTCACTGAGGTGACACTGTGACATCCTGTCTGCCTTTAGGGCTCTAAATACTAACAGTAACTGAGTCCTATTGTGGGAATAAGATGTGTGAGTCTGTGAGCTGGGCAGCACATAGATAAATTCCAGATGATGATTTAATGCTGTGAATACAAGTCTTACAGTCCTGCAAGCAGCCTGGTACTGGAGAGGACCTTTGAGGTCAATTCATTTCCCTTCTGTCACAGGCAGCCCTCTGAAAGAAGCTGCATGATAAAGCGACCCAGCTCCATTACAAAGTTAATTTTTTTGCCACCATTTCTACTACTGTAATGGTGCAGGAAGAGGAATCCTACAGCAGGTCCTTGGAAATGTAGAAATCTTCCTCTTGCCAGCCTTAATATACTCTTATCCGGTTTATTCACATCTTTCTTTTCTGCCAAAATTGTGCTTCTGCTTAAATAGCGCTTCTCCCTTCTGTGTGCTCATCCGTGATGTATTTATAGGGAGTCCTCTCTCAGCATTCACTGCATGAGATAAAACAAGCCATCCTTTTTTTAGACTCCTTTCGTATAACAGACTTTCCACAATCTGAATCATCCTTGCAGCTCATCCCTTCACCTGCTCCTGTCTGGGCATGGGGAGCAGCTATATATTCTCCTACCAGGGGTTTTTACAATGCCATTAATACTGCCTTGTTTCCTTACTGCCCTGTTGTACATTTATATACTCTCTGTGTGTAGAATTCTTCAAGCATATAAATTATGTTACACAGTGAACTATCAAATACTGGTGTGTCATCTCCTCTGGGGCCACTTGAGCTCCTTAGGAGTGTGGTCAGCATCTTGCAGGCAAAATCCTTTGGTGCTTTTCATCTGGTGCTTTTTCATCCTTGATAGCTCCTGCAGAGTGTTTCAGCATGAAGATGTTTCAGCAGTCATTACAAAAGCAAGTGAATCATTCAAGAAAAGCACAATTCATCCATCTTCTTTAGTGTCACCAATTAATAGCTGCTCAGGATGCTTTGCAACCTATAGTTGCTTAAGGGAAGAAAAATAACCAGCCCCTTCCTATAGTGCTGTGCTGTCATTATATTTAGTGTATCCTGCCCAAGCAAAGAAGCTTTATTAAATCCATTTGGCAATATGCAAAGGGTTCTGATATGGGGCTTTAAAGAAGAGTGAAAAATAGTATAAGAGGGGAACTAAAAACCAATTGGTAAACAAGATTATTTCTTGTTATTGGAACCCATTTCTCTTTTCAGAAGCCAGTGGTCAGAGCCTGATTTGGTGGCCACACTTCTGTCTGCTGCTGCCCCTCCTAGCAAACAGTGCTGAGGCCTCCAGTTTCCTCCACTTGATGGAGCTGGAACAGCCTTTTATTTCATGCTTCTGATTTGGAATATTTTGCTGTAGACTGTGCAAAATAAGGGACCATTTTTAAAAGGGAGCAGAGCTGCCTTTGTGGGCAGCTCAGGTTGGGTCTGTGTGCCCATTGCTCCAGTCACAAGCTGCTAGAGCAGAGTCATTGCACCCTTTGGTGAAGCTCTGCCTTGGGCACTGTCAGAGCACCTGGAGAAAATCCAGACCCACACCTGGCAGACCTGAAGATGCATTCCCCAACCTGCCCACAGCTGCTGACTCCAATCCCTCCTCCCATCTCACCTCCCTGTCCAAAACACTTGGCTTTTGCCACTGGACACACCCCAAGGAGGACAGCAATGCCACCTCCTGGGGGCAATCACCTCAGTCCCAGCCCATGTGGCATAGTTGGAGCTCTGTGCCTAAGTGTGATGGAACCTGATGGAAGCTAATTTAAAAGAAAACTATCCATTTTGCTGTCTCTGTAGGGTTTAGTCATAAAAACCTTATGTTGTCTTACAAGCCTAAACAAGTGTGTTCACATGTAAAAATCAGCCATAAAGCTGCCTGGAGAGTGCTTGACATGTCTGAGCTGTCATTTGTAAGAGCTGCCAAGCCTGGATCCTGCAGTGGGAATGACCTTTCTGCTGTCCTCAAACCACCCTGCATAAGGGGGGCATCCTGCTTCAGAATGGGAGAGAGGGACAAGCCCAGGGATCCTTCACTGACAGTCACGTGGAGTGGATGTTTCTCCATCTGGCCTTGACAGGAGCTGGATCAGAGGCAAAGAGTACTTGTTATATTAGAGCAGTGCCAATGTTCAGAGGTGAAGAGAGTGTAAATCTAATAGGAGTATTTCCTGGTCTTGTCCTCAACCCCAGCTAGTCTACAATTTTTAAGGCAAAATGAATTTCCTTTAGGACACAGGAGTCATCATGTTTTTTTACAGTGGAAAAAAAATATGGGCTATGTCTTCTTGGCTACCCCAAGGGAAAAATCAACATGGTGTAAATGGCAGCTCTCCCCAGTGTCTATCTAGGATGAGATTTTCACTCACCCAAACTATGCAAAATTCAGAATTTCTGCTGAAACTGGGCTTGTGCAGAAGGTCTATCTGGGCAGCTCTCCCTGGGCAGGAGGAGAGGGCTGCTTTGGTCCATGGGGTAACTCCAGCTGGTGTCTCCTTGCAGGCGTCGGAGGTGGAGCGGCAGCTGTCCCTGCAGGTCCACACCCTGCGCGAGGACTTCAGGGAGAAGAATTCCTCCAGCAGCCAGCACATCGTGCGCCTGGAGAGCCTCCAGGCCGAGGTGAGTCGCCTGCCTCCCTCCTGCACAAAGCAGCCAGGGCTGTTGGGGTTTGTGGAGTGACCCTCTCTGAGCTGAGCAAACACAGAGGGATGGCAGCACCGGGGCAGTGACTCCCCCAGCAAGGATTGCTCCATGGTGTTCTGGCTGGGCTGGCTCAGGGACCTTCCAGTGCTGCCTCAGCCACAGCATTCCTGCAAAATGAACAGATGAGAAGGATCTTGCAGGAGCCAAACCATGGCTGTGCTCTTGCAGGGCTGCTGCCCTGTACAGACTAAACTCTGGTAGGCATGGTGGGAAGGTCTGCAGGGTTTTTTTTCCTCTGTTCCTCATGCTTGCAAAGAAAGCAGCAATCCTCTCTTGCCTCTGAGCCATGCACTTGGGAAAGCAAGGAGCCCCTGCCTGGTTTAAGTCAGGTACATTTGCAGGAATGAGACAACTTCCTTCCTTTCCCCTTCCCTGACAGGGTCACTGGGGATCACATAGGCAGAAACTAGATGGGTAGAAGATGTCCAGCTCTACTATCTGACCACTTCATTTATTTAAAAGCTGTCTGGAAGAGCTTTTGCTAAAATCTCTCGATTTCTTTTCTCCCGCTCCCACCTGCTCCTTGCTGGTCCCTCGCCTTTTCTTCCCCTCCCCTTGGTGTGGAGCAGCAAGTCCTTGAAGTAAGTATGGAGGCTTGGAAAGGCTTTGTCTGCAAGTGCATTGCTGTTACCATGCATGCCTGTCACCATGCATGCCACACCTTGTCTCCTCACCTGTCTCTTGCTTTCCAAACCCTTTCTCCCTATGCCTTTCCCATGGTCCAGGGCTCGTGGCAGATTGGTGTTTTTTATGTTGTATTGTTATTTACAGCATGTTCATTACTGGTCTGCCCACCAAATATGAAATCTTAATACAATCTCTCCATTAAACCTCTTATTTTTCTTTCTCCAACCCACGCAAATCATGATGGTGGTGGGCAGAGACATCTCAGAAACCATTAGTCACCTCAGAGCAGCTTTCCAATACCTCCAGCAGCCTTTACTCTGTAGAAATAGCAAGTCCACATACTTGGCTGGTATTCCTTTATGCAGCCAAACCTTTCCAGCAACCTGGAAAGCAGCAAAGAGTCAAGGTCCCAAAGAGGCCAAGAAAACAGTGGGAATTTGCTGAATTTGTCTACACTCCATGAACTGAAAGGAGGCCACAGGGAATATTTAGGGTGATAGTGGACTGGTGGATGGCTGGCACACCAGACCCCCGAGATCCTGTGTGTACTAATGTGGGAAAAGGCTCCTTTTTCTTGGTTAAAGAAGAAGTGACCTTGGCTAGTGCTGATTCATCCCTTGCACCGTTCCCAGCTAACTGAGTCACGGAGGGTTTGTTTGGCAAACTGTCCCTCGCCTGAAACCACTGCCCTTGACAATTAAAAGAAATGAACCAATTTTAAAGGCAACCGATCACTGGGAGGCTAAAAATAAGCATGGCACAGAAAGGAGTCTTCACAAGTGAAAAGACAGAAAAATCCCTGGTGAGGGCCTGATGAGCACACACCAATTAAGAGCAGCAGTGGGCAGTGCTGTGGCACAGCCCTGCAGGGAGCAGGATCCCACAGGCTCTCCCTGGATCCTGCTGGCTCTCCCTGTGATCTCCAGCACCCATACAGGAGAAAATGCCACCATCAGGACCAGCCAGGAAAAGTAACTAGTTTTTCCAGTCTTTCAAATGTTAAGGTTCAAAGGATGGGCAGGGGTGGTCTCCACTTAATACCCTTGAATATTCCTGCCTGCTCCCTGACCTGCCAGTGCACACCCAACCCCTTTGGAGCAGGCCCTGCAGCCTGGGGAAGGAGGATGGATTATTTCCTTTCAGAGCTTTCCTAGGCTTTAAACCACACACAGAGGTAGTTTCTCTCATACAGGTACAGAACATCTGTGTACATCCTTCTGCTTTTTGCTGTTTCATTTCTCTCCTGGGAATGTGGTGTCTCTCCTGTCTGGTCCCTGCACAGTCTGACGGGGCCTCTCTTTGCCCTGCAGATCAAAATGCTGACGGACAGGAAGCGGGAGCTGGAGCATCGCCTCAGTGCCATGATGGAGGAGAACGACCTGCTCCAGGGAACCGTGGAGGAGCTGCAGGACCGCGTCCTCATCCTGGAGAGACAAAGCCATGACAAGGACCTGCAGGTGAGGAGGCAGCAGTGACGCAGGGAGGGGATGGGGAGATGCAGTAAAAGTCATGATTTGGGGTAAAATTGGCCATAAACTGGCAGACAGAACTGGAACAATGAATTGGCTCATGCAAGAATGGCAGCAAGCAAGGTGCTGGGTGTTCCCCATGAAGACAGGTAACAGGAGCATCAATGAGGCATCTTGACAGCAAAGAGCAGCTTAGGAGGGAGATCTGAGCAAGGAAGTGGGGCAGGGTACTGGGGAAATAAGGTAAATGCAAAAAGAATCAGAGGACTCTGGTTACAGTTCATTTTATTTAATTTTTTAAGAGTAGAATTGGCTTCAAAAGGGGCTTCTCTAGATCCTGCTGTTCCAGAGGGCAGTCACTGGCCTCTTAGATCCCAGTGCTCAGGTGGTTTCCCAACAATCTCCATGGTGTTCATGGCCATGAATCACCAAATGTCACTCCCCAGAAAACAAGCTTGGCGCCTCTGGGGCTTAGGGCAGAGCTAGGTTTTTCCATTTCATTTCTGTGGTTTACCAACCACTGGATCCTCAGCTCTGCAAAACAACCCTGAGTATTTTTTCCAAACGTATATTTGTATATTTAAAAAAAAATGTGGATAGCACTTTCTTTTTGGATCCACTTCCTGCTGTGTTGTTTTCAGCAAATTTCTTTACCTGAGTCCCAACTTCTTCACAATGTTCTCCATTTTAGTGCTGATTAATCTGCTATTTTTATCTTTCTGGATATTCTGGATTCTAAACAGTGTCTGATGACACTTGGAGATTATTAAGCTTCAATAAACAGCAATACCAGCCAAGAGTACTTTCCTCCTGGCTGGAAACCCTGTTTTATGTCACTCATTCCTCCCTCCCATCTCCCTCACAAACCAAGAGATTGATCCAGTCCATATTGCCTCCATTAATATTTTTCTGATTCCTTGATTTTCTTCCCAAGCTGCACCAAAGCCAGCTGGAGCTCCAGGAGGTGAGGCTGTCCTACCGGCAGCTGCAGGGCAAGGTGGAGGAGCTCAGCGAGGAGAAAAGTCTCCAAAACCTCAACACAACCAGCACATCTCTGCTCTCTGAGATAGAGCAGAGCATGGAGGCAGAGGAGCTGGAGCAAGAACGAGAACAGGTATTTGCCCTCCAGCCTCTGGGAAAGCCCACGGCCCTCTGTGACCAGTCCCAGAGCAAAAGGGAGTTTAATGCATTTGATCTGGATTTGGAGCTGAACCAGAGGCCAGAAAATTGGGATTGGGGTGTGGCATCAAAACCCTTTTGACACGTGAAAGTAAACCTTTGCATCCATTTCCAAATCAACAAAATATTTGTGAGGGCTGGAATCACAGCTTCACTTGGCCATGGAGGGAGGCTCTCCATGGCCCTGCCAGCCCTGGCTAATGGCAGGCTGTGTTGTTCCAGCTGAGGCTGCAGCTCTGGGAGGCCTACTGCCAAGTGCGGTACCTGTGCTCCCACCTGCGGGGCAACGACAGCGCCGACTCGGCCGTGTCCACCGACTCCTCCATGGACGAGTCCTCAGAAACCTCCTCAGCCAAAGACGTGCCGGCCGGGAGCCTGCGCGCCGCCCTCAGCGAGCTCAAGAGGCTCATACAGAACGTGCTGGACGGGGCAGACTCCACGGTGAGTTGGTGGCACAGGCACAGTTGGTGCCTGGCCTCGGGCACGTCCCCTGGCCTGGAGCTTGCTGGATCCTGAAGGCCCTGGGCTCTCCCTGTGGCTCGCAGAGATGGGCAGTCACAGGGCACAGCCAAATCTTTGTGTCTCAGATGGTCAGCCAAGAGCCAAGTGTGTGGGGTTGCAGCCTGGAGTGCTTAGACCACCTAAAGTTTCAAGCTCGTACAACTGTCATTGGCCTGGGAGTCGTTCTGGAAAATTAATAAAAGTAGGCTTACTTTGAGATTTTCAGTAAGTTAGAGTTTTAACATGGAAATATTGCAGATTGCCTTACACATCACAGTTTGGTTATTTCCTCTGGGATTTTCCTAACCTTGCTTTATTAACAATAGTATCACAAAAACATTTTAACCCCTATGTCAGGAATGTCCCTGTGAATTGTCATTGGTAGAAATGTCTTGGCTGGAGCTGCCAAACTCAAATCCATGGCAGGTTAAGGGTTTTGCTAGCGCAAGATGATGTCTGTAGGATGTGGTCCCCAGGCAGGAGGGGATGGCGTGGAGGGACCACTCAGCATCCACAGAAGTGCAGAATTGCAACAAAACACCTCACTTTCTGTTGTGGCTCAAATCAGGCCTGTCCCATTCCCTACAAGCTGGTTGCATGGCCATTAGTGCTTATTTGGGGTGCTGCGATGAGGAAAACAGTGTAGCCCCTTTAGGGAGCTGTGAGGGAGTACTCACCCTCCTCATTTAAGTATCCATAGGCTGAGTATAGAGATGAAGTTGTATTTGTTAAATAAATGTAGAGGGTCCTGTAAAAGGTCTGCAAACTGAGAGTGTAGCCACATGGGCTACCAAATGGGCAGTAGGTCTCTGTAAATTTGGTTTATGCCAAGCTCTGCATGCTCTTTGCATCATGTGTGGAAGCACTACCCTTGGTTGAGCAACCTTGGTGGTGGAGGTATAAGGAAACAAAAAAATCTGCCAAAGTCACATTCACATTTTCTTTTTCATTGTTTAGCACCCTCATCCCATACTGGTGCCAAATTAATACAATTGCCTTTTTTAAAGTGAAATCTGAGCAAGAGATTTCTCTCCCGCTCTCAGAGCTCTCGGCGAAGCGACGACGACACCTTAGAGGAGCAGATCAGGAGAACCAGTGAGGATTCACGAGCCCTGAGGGAGTTAATGGAGGGAGAACGGGGGAAACTGAGGCAGAGTTTGGAGGAGCTGCAGCGACTGCACAGCCAGGTTAGCAACTCCCACACTTTACATGTGGTCTTGTAACAGCAGTGTTCATCCTCCAACACATGCCTTCCATCAAAGAGACCAACATAAATAACCCAGGAGGATTTAGGCCAAAATGGTTGGATGAGGGAGATCTGTTAAACCAAATGCAGAGGATTTAAGCATTTAGGATTAAAGTTTCTGAGAAATTGTCTGGGGCCCATCTGAAGCATCATCTCAAGCAGCCAAACTTCCTGTAGGCCTTTCTCTCAGTCCACTTTTTAGCCAGACTCTGTTAATTAAATTCTTCTCAGCAGAAGACCTCAAAGTATGAGGCTTCTTGATACGGGGTACTGGAAACTTGAAAGTGTCCAGGCTGGCCTGAATTGCTGCACTGAGCTCTTGTGAGGGGTGTGTGCACCATTCCATGGATATAAAGGTGCTGGTCTGCTGTGCATGGAGCAGGGCTTGACCTCTTCCACAGCAGCATCACAAAATCCTCAGAAAAGCACTCCCAGAGAATCCTAATTCTAGCACCAGGCAGCACCCCAGGGACCAGTTGAGGCAACCTCAACAGCCAGGAATGGTCCACCCCAACACCAACTCCATACCCAAGGCACAGAATCCCATTGCACCCCCACCCAGCATCATCTGTGTCTGAGGCCCTGTGCCCAGAGCTGGAAGTGAACACAGGCATCCAAAGAGGTGCTTGGCAGTGCTTGTCTCTGTGGGACAAGACTCCAGGTGCTGAAGGGATCTGGAGGCTGCAGCAGAAGCAGCAGCAACTGCACTGGAGCAGGGAATGGGGTTAATGTCCTTGGCAGGTCTTCCCAGCAGTGCTGTATCAGCCTTTGGAGAGTAAATAGGAAAACACAGCCCTGTTCAGAAAGTCAGCACAACCTGGGCTCTGACAGCCTTGTGTAGGGATGTGGGAGCTCCCACCATGACACCCAAGGGAAAAGAGTGAGAGCATCAGTAAATACCCTGGCAGGGGTGCCTGCACTTGTGTGAGGGTGGGAATGTTCTGCCTCCACAGCAGCTGATGGGGCAGAGTGTGGGAGGGGAGCAGCCCTGGAGCCCATCCTTCCCCTAGGACTGCTCCTCTCAGCACTGTGCCACCACAGAAGACACTTTTGAAGGTCCAGCCTTCTGTCCCCAGTGAGACATAAGCCCAGACACTGCTCTGCCATGCTGCAGTCCTGTACACCACACACAAACTTCCCTTGCCTTTAAACATACCTGAGATGGAGGAGACAAGGGCTCAACCTCTGCAACCTGGCAGTGCTGACAGACACCTTTAGAGGCTTATTCACAGATTATAGGCTTGTCTGATCTCCCCAAACTCCCCAGCCAGGAGGGACCAGAAGACCAGCCTTGGATTGCAAGTTTGGAACCCTGGGTGTGCTTTTAGGGGTCCTCAGCTACCAAAGCTCTGAATATTTGTAAGCAAAGGGAGGACTGCAGTTCTGTTTTCTTCTCACACCTCTGTGTGATGTGGAGAAAGATGGGGCATAGCTACAAATGCAGCAGCCATTACTCTCAGAGAGGAACTGCAGCCTCCCACAGCAAGTACATGTCTCCCACAGCTTTTGCCTGTTATCCAGCCTCACACTTGCTGCAGGTTAATAATTACTCTCACCACCTATTCAAGAGGCAACATTGTCTTCTGTTCAGTGCTACAGAAAATTGATGCATGTGGAAATCTGGTCCACCCGGGGGAAGCAGTGCTCTGCTGCCTCCTCTTCTTTCTGTTCTGGCACTGGTATTGATACAATCAAAGGGGAGCTGCTTCTACATGGCTTTTAGGATCTTGTGGCATCACACACATTCATTGCTCCTGCCCAAGAGCATGGTGAGCAGGTGGAGACAGGAGCCATCCCCTTCTCTGTCTACAGTGAGAAGCTATTTCACACCTTCTGCCTGTTTGTTTCCTCCCATTCTTACCTGAAGCACAGACACAGCCAATTAAAATCCCAAACACCATGTTTTGGGCCTCTGGATGCTCTGTCCCCTGAAATTTCTGTAGAAGTGCTCAGCACCTTTTACATCACCCCATCAGCACTGCTGTCTGTCACATCATTGCTCTGAGGAGCTCCCCATGTAGGGCTGGGGGAGGGCACAGCTCCCCAGTCCCCTGCAGCCCTGGCACAGCTCCCTGGTTCTCTGGCAGCCCCAGCACAGCCCCCCAGTGCCGTGGGGAGTCTCTGCACAGACAGGGTGCATTCTCACACCCTCCTGCCCCCGGCCCAGCCGTGCCTCACTAACAGCAGATCCTCCCACGCCCTGGATGTGATCAGCCCTTTTTGACTGTCTGCCCTCTATTTAAAGATGTCTTTGAGGATTCAAGCACTACTGAGCTGCATTTAGAGGCAGGACGTGGGTCAAACACTGGAAGGGGTTCCAGGTGGTGGAGTAGTGTAACAGAGCATGTGTGTGCCCTAGACAAAGAAATTAAATGTGTATGAAATATTATGAAGCTGTGCTAATGCAATCCTTGCATGATTTCACACCCTATTAACTCACTCTGCACAGGACCAAAGCGATAGATCATTTCTCAGACTATTAAAGACTCCAGACATATTTTAAAGTCTAATTAAAATTGTAAGATGTGCCAGTAACACCTTCCATGGCATGAAAGAGAATTTTCACATTCTTTGTCTACAGCTTCATATTACTTCAGAAGACGTAATGGTCCCTTCAAAAAATATTATTTGCTGGTAAATTATGTTAGCAATAGTTTAACCCTGGAAAGATCAGAATTACAACAGGCAGACTCACAGGATGTGTGCAAACTGCAAGACAAGCTGCTTGGAGAGGGGCAGCATTTTAGCACTGATGCAGCAGTGTTAGCAAAGTCACAGGTGGGTCCTGCCCTGCACAGCTTTCAGTGCTGTTTCTGCATGTCACTGAGGCCATCCTGGTGACACATCTTGCCCAGGTCGGCATCCCCGAGCACCTTTCATGGAGGGTGGCACCAGCGCTAACAGCCCCACTCAGCAGACACAGCTTTTTCTGTGACCAGGGGAGCTCTCAGCCTGCACGTTGGCCCATGTGGCTTTTCCCCACACACTTGCGGTGCATTTTCCCGAGCAGCCCCGGGTTTGACAGGCTCGCTCTGCCCGCAGGTGACGCTGCTGAGTGTGGAGATGACGACGCTGAGGGAGGAGCGGGACCGGCTGCGCGGCGCTGCCGAGGACAAGGAGGCGAGCGAGCGGCTCCTGCAGGCCATCAGGGACCGCGACGAGGCCATCGCCAAGTGAGTGGCACCGGCGGCGCTTGAGGAGTGCCACGGCCAGAGATGCCTCTGGGGTGGCTTTCTCCTGCTCTCCACAGCTGTGACAGTGATGTCGTGGCTTTGGTGGCGTTGGGAAGTGCTGCCCGGAGCCTGGGAGCAGCTAAAGGCAGAGCTGCCCCACGGCTGGACTGGGGGCATTGAGGAGCATTCTGTGAGCCGTGTTTGTGCCATCCCTAGTGCTGCTGTGAGTCACAGCAGGGAGGAGAGGACTTAGGGAGCCAAATGGAAACACTGGGTCTGCCCTATTTGTCACATATTTCTTCCTTTGCTATTCCAGAGAAACAGCCCTGCTTTCCTGGCCATCCCCATTACAGCCTGCCTGGGCATCTTCCCTAAGCCATTCCTCTGGTCACTCCCTCTCTTTTCCTGTTCCATAGTCTTTTTGCATGTCCTGTAATTCTCTGGTTCTCCTTTTGGGATTTTCCCACTGGTTTGGCTCTTTATTTTGCCCATCCTCCTTACAGATCTGTGCAGTTCTGCTCCCCCATACCCCAAATCCCCCTTCCTCAGCTCTGTCCTTGGGCTTGCCAAAATTCCCGAGGAGATGGACAGACACCTTTACCCCTCTAGAAAGGATTCATCTGATAATCCCTTCAACAAACAGGTGGGCCAGGACACCACCAGTCCAGCTTCTTAGGGGAAGAGCCCTGGACAAGAGGAGGAGCAGGAGAGGGTTGCACCTCTGAGGGTGCAGGAGCTAAATCAGCCTGCAGCATCCCTTTTTATGAGTGGCTGCATCAGCCATGCTGCCCTTGCTGGGCTAGCTGGCTGCCAGACTGCCACGGCTGTCCTCTGTCACACCTCCATCTGTTGGCCAGCAGAGGAGCATCCCAGCTGTGATGTTCCTGTGGGCTGCTGGCTCTGCCGTGGCTATGGCAACACTGCTGCTGCCATCAATCCTGCAAACACCCAACCAGCAGCAGTGAAAAGGCAATGAAAGGCTGCTTCAGGTGCTCAAACCACAGCCCGCAGTGGAAGGGCACAGCTTCCCCAGTTCACTGTGACCCTGCTGGACAAAGCACCAAGTCTGGGGCTGGCTGTCTTGCAGTGCAGGAGCCACGGGAGAGGGCGATTGAGGAGCTGAGAGTGGCAGCAAGGGAAAGCAGACAAGAGCATCTTGTCACTGAAGTGAAAACATCCCTCCCAGACCGAGTGGGCTGGTTGCTGCCTGAGGAGGCTCGTGATTTTCTTCCCACCTCACAGCCCAAGGGTTAAGTTGCTTTTGTTCAACCCATCCCCCCAAAAATCCCTAACTCTGAACAGAAATAAAATCACTGCCCAAGGCAGACATCTGGTGTGGAAAATTTTTGCTTGAAGCTGAAGTTTGGCAACATGGGAAGCAATAGGAAAACAGGATCCTTTCAGAGCAAGTGTTAAGCAACCAGTACCTGGAGTCTAACACCTGGAAGTGTTAAGCAGCCAGTACCTTGGAATATTTGTGTTTATATTCCAGTACCTGGAATATAAACACAAATTCCCAAATTGCTCTTCTGCAGGGGAGCACAAGGGAGCTATTACAAGACAAGGAATAAGCTACAGTAATAAGATGCAATTATTTCTCTCGAAAGTGTTTGCAAGGAAAGATGGTTCCCAGCAAGTCATGTTACACTCTCCTATCACACAGCAGTTAATTGAAAACTTAAGCTTTGTGCTTACCTGTGTGCTCCCAGCGTGATGAGCAGCATTTCCCAGCTTGGGCAGCTTAGGAAATTGCTCCATCCTGAAGGACAATTCCTTTCCACAAGCAAGGAGCAGCTGGAACATCTCAGACATGAGCATTTGGGGCTCTTTGGGTAATCTTGTCCATGGCATGACACGCTCAATGTCCACCAAATGTCTGGGAAGAAATGCAGCAGAGGTGTTCTCAAGGGCTGGGACAATACTGAAACTGGGAACTTTCCTTAAAGCCTAACATTTAATTCAAATAATTCTGACAGTCTGTCATTTTTTAAAAGTATATGCTGTAATAAGCTATCTTCTTTCATTTCTTCCTTCGATCCTTCCTTCAGTCAAGTCCCAAGTGAAAGCAGAATTGTACTCTTTAAGAGATTTTTATGTTTGTTTTATATTGCAATTTATTGATCAAGCAATCAGACACGAGTAATTTGATTTTTAGCACATACCATTTGTTTTCTCTGCATGTAAACTGCCATGGTTTGATACTGGCCCAATGCCAGTGCCCCCATGAAAGTGTATTGTGCCAGTGTCAAACTGTGATGTAAACAGAAGAAAAAGAGAAAATATTTGAATATAGATTTTACCTTGTTCTAGATCTCCATTTTATTGTCAGATCTTGCACATTATCCAGGCACACTATTAGCTTACACAGCAGTGTATCTTATTTTCTTTCTGTATTCTTCACAGTGTGCATATCAGAAATCTGCTGCTTTTAGGGTAAAGATGTCAAAAGGTCTGTCCCGCTCTTCAGATTGATAGATTGTTCAGAATACAACAGAGGTGAACACCTTTGGATGTGGGGACTTACCAGTGAAAGACATAAATTGTAGACTTGTTTAGATATGCCTGACTCTTTTTATAAAGAAGGAGGTGCCATGCGCGGATTTCTGTCCCCGCAGGAAGAACGCGGTGGAGGTGGAGCTGACCAAGTGCAAGATTGACATGATGTCCCTCAACAGCCAGCTCCTGGATGCCATCCAGCAGAAGGTGAACCTCTCACAGCAGCTGGAGGCCTGGCAGGTGAGCACCCGGCAGGGCAGGGGCTGCAGGACACACGACCCCAGGGCCACCTGCGGGGACTGTCCCCCTCCCTGCGGGTGTGTGCTGTTCTCCGCCTGAGCATCCAAGGATTGGGTGTTTGGGGGGAGCTGCCCCTCCCTGCTCCGACCCTTTTGGCTGTGAGCAGTTAATTCTACAGCTCTAAACTCATTTAAGATGGAGAAGCAGACTGTGCCTGCTGGCAGAATGGGAAATGTGCATGTTGCTCTGCCCCGGGGTGGGGAGGGGTCCGTGCAGGAGGTGTCCCTAGGCAGGCACACCTTGGGTGCACGTGGGCACAGCGTGTCTGTGCATTTCCATGATGGAGCAGAAAGGTGGGAGAACAAGGTTGTGCTGATTGTTGCTGCACTGTTTGTATCAACTCTGAAGATCTATCAAGAAGGAGATGCTAAAATTCCAGTTCTTCACCAAGGTGAAAAAACAAAGTCATGGCAGTTCCACAGCTGCCCTGGAGATGCTCTGCTTGGGGTCAGTGGGGAGACAAAGCTGCCTCCTCCCAAAACCAGTACCAAGGGAGGGCTACTTCAACAGAAAATAAAGCAGACTCAAGAGCAAAGGTCTGTGCCATTTGTAGTGGTTTGTTGCAGACCATGCAAGCCCCCAGCTCTACTAAAAACCAGCCTGACCAGTAGAAACCTTTCCCGTACAACCTCGCTCCTGTTTCAACTCCACTGTGTTTTCGTTTCTCTCTCTCTCTCTTTTTTTCCCTTTTCTTTTCTTCTTTCTTTTCTTTTTCCTGCTTACAGTTTGCTTCCTCAGGGCTTTTTACTATCTGGCTCCTTTGGTTTCTGATCTAGTGGCCTTTCTCAGTTCCTGTACCAACAGCTTTAGTCGTACACCCCTCCTGCCTTTGAGGTGAGCTGCCCACACCCTCCATCCCCTCTCCATCTGCTGCCACCATCACCCACATCCTTCTCTGCCCTCACCATCATCTGGCAAGAGGGGCCCGTGGGGGTCTCCATCACCCACCAATATTCTGCCCACACCCCGTCCCAGCAGCAGCCAGGGGCAGCATCCTGCACCCCATGGTGAGGCTTCACCAGGGCACCACGGGCAAAGCCAGCTTCAGGTGCACAGATTATTAACCCTCTCTATCCACATAGTCAGTATCTGGAAAGGCTCTTGAAAGACAGACTGGGATTTTACTTCTCAGCCTCATTGTCCCAGTGACACTGCTCTGATAGGAGCTGTCTGGATCCAAGTGCAGTCTGGATGGGTGCTATAAAGTTAGGCCTGCTTAGTGCTAGAATAAACCCAGCTTAGGGGTTAAGAACAGGTTCTGTTGCAGTAGCACAGCAACTCAGACCTGCTTCCATCAGGTGAGGCTCAGGCCCACTTCATGGCAGTAAGTTGTTTCCAACATACTGACCTGAGGTGTCACTACACAGCAGCAAAATAATTTCCAGCCACCTCATGTTCCCTCAACAGCAGCTCAGCCACAGAGGCACAAAACAAGTGGGGTGATTTTGTATTCTGGGGACTATTTTGCAAAGAAGTTAGCAGAAGAGTTTCTGATAAAATAGGATAAAAGTCTCTGTTTTAGCTGGGCATAATTGGATGCTTTAATCTGCTAACATTTTGCTTTTGCACACTTCTAGTCTGCATTTCACCAGGGGCTGTCAACAAGATGACAGTGTTCTCTAAGGACATCATCATACAGGCTGTAAAATAGGATTCAAGCAAAAAATCCTCCCATCCAAGTGCTTTGCTCTCTGACTCACACATCTGACAGACAGGGACCCAATGCAGTGCACTCTCAATAATGCATACTGTATTTTTATGTATATATGATATTTTTGTGTGTATATATATATATATATATATATAAAAATATACATATAAATCCTTCTCATCCCTTGTTGTATGGTCAATCAAGGACACAGATCTGCCATGCAGGAGCCTGGGTACCTACTTCATTTAGCAGAAGAGGTGCCTTCAAAATCCAAGTGCTGTGCATTTTCACATGGCAGCTTCAGCTCTGGAAACCTGTCTCACTGATATTTCATACTGATGTTCACCTCAACCTCTTCAACTCTCCCTCTGCCTTTCCTCTCTCCAGCCCTGCTCTAAAAGGACCCAAAGCTTCCCCAGTCTGTGTAGCTCTGCACCCTCCTGCTCCCACAGGGGAAGCCCCCATACTAAATTCAGGTCCAGGTCATGGCTATCAATCCTTTTCCCTGCAGAAAATGCTGCAACAAGAGATGAGCTATTATTCAGTTTCCAGTCCCAGCTGGCTGATTTGATTCCAGTCCAGAGCAGCTGGGGCACCTGCTGGGCAAAGGCAGCACCTTCCCTTCAGTCCTGGGGCTGCCCTGACAGGCTGCCCCTCACCAGGTGCTGAATGAACAGCACTCCCACCACTCCAGCCCATCCTGAGTACCTCTGTTGTCCCCAGACAGTGTCCTCAGCCCTAGTCAGGGACCAAACTGCTGGGGAGTATTGACTCCTCCTGTGGGACTACTTTGTGTACACACATTTTCACTAAGCTGTAGCTTAAATATGCAATTATAGGAGAAGCAATGGATCTGAAAGTTTAAAATCTGTGAAATTTATAGCCAGGTTTTCGAGGAACTTGTTAGCACATCATTAGTGGCAGCAGAGCTGGGTAATTGTTTTGTATAAAGCAGCTTCACTGTGGTGCAAACATGGACGAAATCAGAGCACTCCTGGTACATCTGAAAAGCCACAGTTCATGTGGAGCTGTCAGTCAGAGCTCCCACTGCTATGCTGGCTCCAGGGAAAGGAGGGGGTCTGAGGGACAAGCTCAGTTCTGTTTGGTGAGTCTGGTGCAAAGCCCAGGGCGGATCTGGTGGGCCCACACCTGCCCCAGCCCCTCGGCACCTTCCCCAAAGAGCCCCAGTGGCAGGGGCCATGCAGCAGCTCTGCCAGCCCTGCCTGTCCACTTGCTGTGCACACAGACCTGCTCAGCACAGACCTCCATCCTTCTTCTGGCCTCTGCTTTCAGCTGCATTTGTTCTTATTTATTTCTCCCCAAAGGGGACATCTGCAGGCTGCAGACAGCAGAGAAACACAGCTTAGGGGTGGCACAGAGTCCCAAGCAGGCACAGAGCTCCTGTGCAAGACCACCTGAGCAATTCATCCCTCAGAACTGTGTGACTGATCTTCCTGACTCCCTGAAAAGCCTCACGGCAGCGGGCACAGCTGAGCCTGCTGTTGGGTGGGGACACAGAGCCCTCTCCCCATCCCTGCTCCATCTCATCACCGCACATTCCGTTCCCATTGCATCCACCCCCCGTTGGTCACCAGCTGCCACTAACGGCCCTGTCCTCTCCCTCTGCTGCAGGATGACATGCACAGGGTCATTGACCAGCAGCTGATGGACAAACACCCGAAGGAATGGAGCCAGCTTGCTTATTCCTTCTCCAGTGGCAGCAGGCGGGGCGCCAGGCCCTGCCCCGCGCCCAGGCCGGAGCAGCAGGGCGACGAGCCCGAGGGGAACCGGCTCTTCTCCTTTTTCAAGAAAAATTAATTGGAAAAAGAGAAAACTCTCCAACAATTCCTGCGTCAAGATGGGGAGTGGGGCAGCTGCCCAGCTTGCTGATGGACCCAAGTCTGATCCGCTGAGTAAAAAAAGAAGGGGGCAAAGGAGTTAACCCTTGAGACTCTGCACTATTTACACCGCACCTGGTCTGAACCAAATGTTTACATGAATTGGAGATTTGCAAATTGACAATGTGATTCTAGTAGAAAGAAATTTTTCTTATTCTATACGTGAAGTGATAAACTTCAGGGTATACTTTAGGAGCTTTGACACAGTCCAGTTTCTGCTGTGAAGAATTCTCTGATTGTCTTAAAAGCGTTCTTATGCTGGAGAAGGAAATAAGCAGCCCCAAGACAGAGTGGTGCAGGGGATTGAGAACTTCTGTCACAGTGAGCAGAAGGGGAAGAAGAGAGCTGAATGCAAGAGGAGGACAGAAGGGAGCCATTTGTATCACCCTGGCAGCTGTGACAGCCTTCATCCATCCCACTGAGACTGGAGTCACTCTGGCCCCAGCAATACCATGTTTTGACAAATGTAGCTTTCTCCGTGGTGGAAGCTGAGCCCTCTCTGCAGCTCCTGCCTGGCCACCATCTCCCCTGGAGCTCTGCGTGGCCCTTCACCCTCGCTGGCATCCAGGCTCCTCGAGCTCAGGGCAGGGGACAGACAGGTGCTGTCACTGTCCTCCCCAGCTCCCTCCTGTTACTGAGGTAAGAGTTGCAGGCTGTAGCTACACAGATTTCTCCCCAGGAGACTGACCATCTGCAACAGATTACAGACTGGATAAAAGTTGTGCATGTTCAGTCCTGGGGCACCTGCTGTTCCTCCAATGGCCAAAAGTAGTTTGGGAGCTTCAGCAAGTCACACACCTTTCCCCAAAGCCATACACATCTCCCAGAGTAAGAAAACTGTCATTTTAACTGGATAGGCCCCCAAAAGCCTAACTAATAATTCACTGAAAGCCTACTCCCATTGATGTCAGTCAGTCTTTGACACTGGGTTGGCAGACTCCATCCTCAGAAAGCACACTGGCATCTGCCTTCACTGAAGCCAAAGGCTATCAGGGTGTCTACAAAGCTCTGGAAAGCCTGCAGGTTACTCTGCCCTATGCAGTAACACTGGCTGTGGCCTGACAGAAAGGAGTGTTTTTCCCTGCCTGTGGGTCACTGGCTACTGAGCCCTTTGGTGAGCAGCTCCAGAAAGGTCCTTTTGATCAAAAATAACCAGATTTGATCAACAAGAAGGAACATGGCTTTTTTGGTGTATGCACACAGCAGTGCTGGAAATCCTGCAATACTCAAGAAGGGACCTGCCCTCTGCACTGGATGGGCACTGCACAGCTCTGCCATCATAAGCCAGTGAGGAGCACCAGGTCAGTTCAGAGATGTCCTGCTGCTGTCATGCAGTTTTCACACATTCTCCCAGCTCATGATACCCACAGGCAGGCCCCAGTTTGTTTCCTGCTGCTTTCAAAAGGCCACCACCTACACTGTCCCACAGCAGACAGAGCTGGCTGCACCTTCAGCTCTGCCCTGCTCAGCAACTCCGGTGCTAACACACCATCCCCAGGGAGCTGCTCTCTGCTCTCTGCTCACAGAACAGGCACCAAACACCTTCAGAGCAGCAGGTGAGAGGCTGGTGGCCTGGGTTTTAGTGTTGTTCAGCTTCCCTGTGGGATAGCACATCCATAATACCTCAGTACAAATATCCTTTCTGCCTATGAAGATTTGAGCATTCCTGTATTTCCTTGTTACATTCCTGTATTTCCTTGAAACCACCACCATGGTATGAAACCATCTTGCACTGAGGCAGCTCTGGGCTGCAAGGAGCAGAGTGCTCTGAGACTGGCAATGGTAGTAAAGAGCTGAGTGGTAAAACCCATCCACACAAAAGCAATGAACCCTGGATTGCAGAGCTTCCTCCAGGAAATACTTGGGCAAAGTCCCACCAATACAGCTTGATGCTTTTGGGGAAAGGCATCAGGAGCCTCACAGGCAGGGGAGAAAACTGAACCTTGGCCTCTCCTTCCTAGGCAATGCTCAGCTGTTGAGTATCTGCTTGTAGCCACTTGTGCAAGCGAGGGGAAGGGCTGCAGTGCAGTGCCACATGCTCAGCCCTCCTCCTCCATCCTGCCTCTGCTGTGACTGCATAGGGCAGGGACACTGCTCAGCATCTGCTGTGCCAGGACTCAGTCACACCCACATGCATCACCCCAGCCTTGGAGTCCTGCAAAATGAGGAGTGGCTGCATGGATGCCAGTGACACCCGTGGCACAGTGACACCTGTGACACAGTGACACCAGTGGCACAGTGACACCCGTGGCACAGTGACACCCGTGGCACAGTGACACCTGTGGCACAGCGACACTGGTGACACAGTGACACTGGTGAGCACTGAGGACGATGCTCTATCACAGGAGAGCCACGGGAACATCTTGGTCCTCAGGGGCCTTTCTTCTGCTGCCAGTTGTCATTTCCCAGACCCCACCAACTCTCTTCAAGCCACATGCCCAGCAGTTGTGTGGGAATCTACCCCAGCGAGGATGGATGGATGGATGGATGGATGGATGGATGGATGGATGGATGGATGGATGGATGGATGCAACCCTAAGGCATGGGCCTTAAGTTACCCCATGAAGATGCAGTAAGGAGATGAAGAAAGGTGCCTTCTGCTACGTTTGCTGAGGAAAGTGACTCAGTCAGTTGCAGGGGTAGGTACAGCACATCTCTTCATTTAATGAGAATCCTTAATCCCATTGCAATTTTATTTATTTAACAAGAGTGACAGAAGAGATTGCAAGAGGAAAGTCTGCATGTTCTAAGGTGCCAGTTGGGTGTGGTTTCTTCAAACAAGCCCCTTCACTAAAGACTTAGTTGCACTACTGAACCCAGAGATACAAGAGAACTGGGTGTAATGAACTGGACAACACACCAAAGGAGACCTCCTTGTGCTGAGCTGCTACTCCACAGGAACAGAAACTGCCTTAACACAGCAGCTAGGTTTTGTCTTCTGTCGTGAAAAACCTCACCTGTGCAGTCCTTCACACCCATTTGTCACGTTGTGTTTTAACAAGGTCCCAGCTGCTTCACTCTGTGCTGTCACTAACACCCTCACCTCCATCCTGTCACAGCCAGGAGCCTGGAATCAGCCTTGCAGTGCTGGCTGGGAGACACTTCCCTTGTGGCACTTGACTCTTCCAGGACACACCCAGGGTGTAAAGGAAACATCAGCTCCAGGAGATGAGATGGAGGAAGCACATTAATCCAGCAGGTACTCAGGATCCCAGAGGAGGTTTAATGAGTGGGATCAGCAGCTCTGAACACAACCCTCAGCCTTGCTTTTGAGATAATGGTAAATAAAACAGTAGTGCTGCACACTGTTCAAATATTGCACAGAGAAGAGATGCCTGCTGAGATTAAGGTTACAAAGGACTTTCCCACAGGTAACAAGTGACTGGGCAAATGTTTGTTATGCCAGCCTGAGGGAAAAGGGATCAGTCTCCCCTTCCTAAACTCTGCAAGGGAAGTAAACAAGGAACAAATGTAAATGAAAGGCAAGTCACTAGCACTTTATCTTAATACAAACTTGGATCAGCAACTTGCTGTGGAGATGAACAGTAAATCAAAAAGTTACTGACAACAGAGTGATTTTGCAGAGCGAGCAGGAAGCGAGGCTGCAGGCAGGGCCACATGCACTTGTCCTACTTAGATGGTAGATTCCAGCTATGCCTCTCCATCAGGCAAACTCTCTACTCCCCACTCAGCTATAAAAAGCAAGAATGTTTGAACCAAAAAGCCAAGAAAGGAAGTGTCTGGGTGCTGCAGCAATGATTCCCTTGGATTGAGAGGGAAAAAGCACACAGCAGGGACAAGCAGAAAGAATGTACCTATAGATATGTACATATACCACAGTGCTGTAATTTTTGTATGTAGCAGTCATGTAAATAAATGTATGGTTTTTATAAGATACATATTCTAAAAATCTATAAAAGCATATTTTTAGTAAAAACAATGCTCTACTTCTTTTGTAAATAGTTCTCTTCAGAATAAAACATCATTTATACGATACTGTCTCAGCTCTCACCACTTTACTGTGCCCAGCTGCAAAACAAGCTTATTTTTTGAATTGTCATTTAACACCCAACAGCATCTTTGGTGCTGCATCATCCCATGAAATTCAGCCAGGTAAAGCCCCTGTGTGTGCTTAGGGGCCAGGGCAGAAACATTTGAAACATCTGCATCTCCCCCAACAGCATCTTTGGTGCTGCATCATCCCATGAAATTCAGCCAGGTAAAGCCCCTGTGTGTGCTTAGGGGAGAAGGGGCCAGGCAAAACCATTTGCATCTCTTGGTGCACAGGAACACCTAAAGGTGGGTAAATCATCCCACCTTTTGCCATTTGTGTCCTTTACTGGCCCTGGCGTGGAGGCAGACTCGGACTGGAAGGGGTTTGGGCAGCAGACACAGGCAGTGACACACCCAGAGCTGGCAGCAGCTCAGACCCCTCCTGCTGCTCCTCCCGCGGGCACAGACACAGCCAAGGCACCTTCCCCCAGCAGGGCTCCACCACTGCCCCAGGAGCAGCCTGGGAGGGGATGCTGCGGGCACAGCCACGGCTGCAGTCCTGCACAGATTAATTAAACACACAGGAATTTCCTGGGAAAGCGAGGAGACACTCCAGATGCTTTCAGTCACCTCGGGAGGAGGAGCTTTCAGAGCTTTTCAATACTTTTTGTTGAGCAGAAAGAAAGGATTACAGCACAATCACAGGCATCTCACTTCACACAGAAATAAGTTACCCATTCCACCTTCCTCTTTCATTCAAACTAAAACAGCAACTAAACATTTGAAAGCATTACTTATGGTTTTTTAATATCCCCTCTCAGGAAATAACCCTTTACACAGCAGAGCTCACCCTTGGCTTGCCACCCTCCACCTCCAGGTGCTGGACAGCAGAGGAAACAGAGCCTCAAAAAAGGATTTGGCAGCTTGTAACCTTTATTTTTAGTTTTTTAAAATTATTTAAAAAGCATAATTAGAAACTTTCATTACAGAAATAATCCTAGCAAACCAGTTAGACATTCCATTGCTCAACATTTAGGAAACTTCACATCAGCACCACTAGAGACACGGTCCCCACCCCTTCCAATTGAACAGTGATGGCAAGAGCAGAGGTAACTGCTCCTCTACAGCCAGCTCTGGGGAAAAAAAAAGAAATTCCCACTTTAAGCCAGGAAGCTGGACCTGGATTGACAGAATTCCAACCACAGCCACAAAAACCTGGACTCAAAGAGGACCAATTTTTCCATATAAGAGAACACTCCAGGCTTGGGTGCACCATTTCCTCATTTTATTGCATCATTTCCAGTAAATTCAGACACGTTCTTTACTTCTGCCTCTATGAAGTTACTCCCTCCTAGATCTGCACACAGCTACCAACAAGATTCCCAAAGCAACACGGCTGGGCCCCCCAGTCTGCAGGGGGAGCCCCCCAGCACAGCCCCAGGGACAGGCCCAGCACACACCACATTCCACCCTGGAGCAGGCAGGAGGGACTGGTGTGGCCCAAGCCACCACCTGCAGCCTCTCAGCACTGCCCAGAGCTCAGCCCAGCAGCCCCAGCCCAGCTCACTCCAGTTCTTGGGTTACCACTGCAGGATATGTGAAGAAGAGAGGTGGGTGAAGGCAGCTGGATCCATACCCAGCACCTGAACCCAATAAAAACCCACGTGTTACACATTCATCGTTTGCACTTCAGGAAAGTCTTTAAAGTGATTGACTGTGATGTGATTGTATGATCAGGGCTCTTACCACAACCTGAAAAATCTAAAAAAAATGCAGGCAAAATAAGTGACTAAAATTTAGCCTCTCCTGGAGAAAGGGTGAGGAAGGGAGAGAAGTGGGCTGGTTCCAAGCTCATGGACATGGGTGAATCACATCCTACCAAACCAAGGCCAGCAATTCCACAGGGCCACTCACTGGCACATGGAGTATGTCCACCTTCAAGGCCTTAAAGGAAGTCATACCCTCCATGCCTTTTAAGGTAAAATTATTTTTTAATATTATTTAGGCAATAATTCATGCTGAGCATGTCCTTTCAGCCCAGACATTTGATATTTTAGTTACACACACATACACTCTCCACCTTTATCTACAACTATTCAGGCTGAGGAAGTGAGCCCTTGTTTTCCCAGAAAGGCTGACGAGGGCCAGGAAAATGTTGCTGAGCACAGCAAGCCCAGTTTGTTTCCAAGTGTGATCCTCCACCACCACATAACCCAAGCAAGCAAGCTTTCCATTTCTTTGCATTAAACAGCAGTCCTCCTTCCTAACTGAAGAATCCTGGGAATGATCCTGCAGCTTTCATATTCAGACATCAATAAGAAGAGCTGGATTTTTTTTCATGCCTTTTCTCTCTCAAAAACAAAAGCTTTGCCACCAAAATTCACATTCACGTTCAGATTGCCTATTTGTGGACAGGGCAACAAGGAGAAGTTTGGGGTTTTTGGCAGAATCACATGATTTTTGTTCTTCTCAAAAGAAATGGACCCTCACTTAGGACACTGGCAGAACCAGAAGCAGAGGTCAAAGTTGTTAAACTTTGCTTTAAAAAAAAAAAAAGTTTTATCCAAACAAATCCCACTTCTGCAGGTCAGTTTGATTTCCAGTATCTTGACACAAACTACAGGAGAGCACAGGTACAGCTGGGCTGCAGCACAAGGAGGTGAAACCCAAGGATCCAGCCACAAATCTGGATGATGGCAAGCTGAAATTCCAGGCCCCAGCAGCAGCTCCAGCTACCAGCCCAGGGGCTGGTGAAATGAAACCCCAGGCTCCAGCAGCAACACCTGCAATCCTGGTACCTAGAAAAACACAGCCCGAGCCCCAGGAAAAGCCTGGGTCTCCAGGAGAAGCCAGGGGCCCCAGGGGCACCAGATGCCAGCCTGGAGCCCAACAGAAATGCAGCTGGAGGCCCCAGGAAGCAGTGGCTGCCAGCCCAGGGCCAACTCAAATTAAGAACTTTTCAACTTTTTCTTTAAAAAGATGAACTCTGCAGTCCATGATTGGTTGACATTAAGAAGGCAGAAGCCAAAGCGACAACAGAGAGGCGAGGCTGGTTAAAGCAATATACATTATATACAAACTCTTGGGTTAATTAGTCCACTTGGTAGGCAACGTCCTTCTTGTCTACAAGGCGCACTGGAATGAGCAGGGGAGGAGAGAGGGGCAAGATTCCATCCCATACCTTCTTGGCACTGCAGTGGGAAGGTGCCAGCGCCTCTTGATAGAAAACATGGAGAAAAAATAATCTTTAAATAACGGCACAAAACTGAGAAAGTCCTCCCAAAGCCTGCCCCAGTGGAATTGCCCGAGTCTAGCTGGAGGGGCTGATCTGTCTGAGAGCAGAGTCTCTGCAGCAGGGAAGGGGCATTAGCAGCACCTCTTCTTCCTTTTACTGTTCTTCGTTAGCTTCACCACATCGTTCTGTTGCTGCTGTTGCTGCTTTGCTAAGTTTTCTTTCTTTGCTCGCAGGACAAGCTCTGTAATGCAATTAAACATCTGCAAGAGAAACAAGCACACTCAGACCACCCCAGAAGTCAGGCTGGCTCCTGTGGGGTGCTGCTCCTTGGAAGCCATTCCCCTTTTCTGTATGTTTCAAAAATGCTTCAGAGACCTTCCCCAACCCACTATGGCCCAAGTGGAAATCCAATACCTTTTCCCAACCCCCTCCCAAGCTAAAAAGTACCTCTATCCCTTTTTCCAAAGCAGTAAATAAAACCAGAGCAGTTTGGCAACTGAGACCAGGAGTGAAGCCTGGGCAGTCTTACCTCCTACAAGCATTCTCAAGTCTTTCCTGTCTAATACATGAGCACTGTGAAACTACTGAAAATGCAGTGTGGGCTCCTTCATTTTGCTTCCCCAACTCTTCCAAAACCAGCTGCATGTCTCTTTTTGACATTTTACCTATTACTTGCAGCTCATACAAGCACTTTTTCTTTCTCAATGGGAAGAATGGAATTTTTATTTCTTCCCACACCATTATCCCTAAATCATTGTATCTCTACTCTTCTGAATATTATATTACCTCTTCCACATTAATATTTTCTTTGGCGCTGGTCTCAAACAATTGGATCTCCATCTGCCCAGCAAATTTATAGGCATCTTCTGTTTCTACCACTTTTCGGTCTGGGTCATCATTCTTATTGCCCACTAAAAAAGGAAAGAGAATAAAAGTCAGTTTGGTATTTCAGCAGGCCAGCCCACTAAATAAGATGCTGTAATTCCCTAATCACCTACCTAGTATCCTGCAGACATCATCACAGTTTTGATTAATTTCATGCAACCACCGTTTTACATTCACAAAGGATTCTGCGCTCGTTACGTCGTAGACAACAATGACCCCGTGTGTTCCTCTGTAATACCTGGGGGGTGCAAAGGGACAGCAAATGTTAACTCAGGGCATCACCTTCTCTTCCACTGAGCTTCTACAGCATTCACAACAAATCCTCACGTTATGGTAATCAAGTGCCCCCATTTTCTTTCCATTGAGACTCACGTAGCTCTTTTATAACAGCTTGATCCCAGGCTATTCCTCCAAAGCTACAGAGCTCCCTGCTCATTCACTCTACACAAATACATTTCCAAGTCCAAAGTCTTCTAAAACCTTCCTTGTTCAGGCTGTCAAGACCTTCAAAAATGAATGCTGTCTTCCAGCTACAGGACCAAAGGCAATGGTACCCCCAGCACATCCTCAGAACTGGCTGTGATGTCATCCTTGGGGCTGCATAAGCCACATCAAGTTTTTGCAGTAATTCTGTTATCTGTGAACAATCACTTACAGACTAAAATTTCAGCAGATCTCCAAATATACTCAACCTTCAGTCACAGTTCTCTCAAGCTCTCAAAAATTTCTGTCTTGTTGAGCGACTGTGTTCTGATCACACCTTCCTACTCAACAGATCGACTCCATATGTGCATTCAATACACTCTGCTACCTTTAGCCATTAAAAACAAGCTTTATTTTAGTTTATTCCCATTAGTCTTGGGCAACTGGCACCTTTAAAAGATGATGCACAAGTCTGATACGCAAGAAAAACATCTGAATTCAGGTTCCAACATTATCACCTGCACGAAGCTACCAAAGACAGAAAGTATGTGCACCATGAAAATGCTAAACAGAAAACCAGCAAGCTCTACCTTCTCAGTTTTCAGCCACAATCATAAGGCTACCAAGTACATTCCCTATTGCAAATTAAGCAGCTGTGACCCAAAAAATAAAAAGAAATTGAAACAGGAAACAGTTAACAGTGAGGTCTTCATCAGGATCCATTTTTTGTATTATGTGTAGCTTTATTCTTTTCCTTTCATCCTCTTCTCTTTCTTCTGATCAATATTAAATTTTTTAATAAAACAAATTCAAGAAACCAGCATACAAAATTGAGGATTTTCCCTTAAACTGTGACAGCACTCCTAGACCTCGATGTCTTATCACAAGCACTTCTTGCAGTACATCCACTGCACTTCAGAGATGTCCACTGTGACCATTCTGCTCCTCTTTGATTTCTCCAACTCAGCAAACACACCTTTGAACTTCAAAGCCTTTGCATCTACCCCAAACGCTCCTTTGAGAAGATCTCAAAGCTTCAGCTCACTTTGCTACTGAAGTGCTTAAGCAAGTCACTGTCTCTTCCCACCTCCAGCCTCCTCATCCTTCTACAAGAGAAGCCACCTGCCTTTATGCACTATCAGACAGACCTGCAGAGAGGCACAGATCACCCCAGAGCCACACACCTTCCTCTCCTGATCCCTGCAGTGACAGTCCCTGGGCACAGTGCTCCTCCAGGATGCTCTGCAGCAGTAGAACACTCTGCTCCTACTGGGCACTTGCAGAAGACACTCAAATATTTCTCCCATGCCACGTTTCACCAGTGATTTATGCTGTGCATTTGCTTCCCTTGGCAAGAAGTAACTCAGGGAAGAAATACTTATTGCCAGCCCTTAAGAAATCCTGGGCTTTCAAATGTTCTAGTCCATTCACAGTCAGTTCTTTCAACAACTTCAAAACCTGCTACAGCACTGCATTTATGCTTTACTTGATTACAACACAACTTTATTCATAACTTGGATCCTTTAGAGGGAAAAGTACTCCAAGGCCTGGATCCACATGTTGCAAAAATAACCCATCCTCTCCTGACACCAGCATGCCCTGCACACCGCTTTTGATGACTTCTGTTTTGTGTGATATCACCAGAAAGGGAAATATCCCCAATCCTACCAACACACTGCATTTCTCCACAGCTGAACAATAAACCAATTATCTTCAAGCTCTCCCATATCATCACCTAATAGTCTTAATTCAGCAGCCCCCAGGCTGACCTACCACTTCCTCCCCAACACTGAGCATTGCATTTGCCAAGACAACACTCAGCCCTTGGAGAAGCGCAGGTTCAGCTGCACCTACGCAGAGCTGCTTCACTCTGCTGTGCACACCGAGCCCAGCCTGGCATCCCTGCCAGCCCAGCCAGGGCCCAGCAGAGCATCCTGCTGCTCCTGCCTTGCCCACGCACCTTCATTTTCTTCTAAGCCAAGCATGTGATGTCGGGGAGTGGAGAAGGGGCAGCCTGCACGTACCGATCCCACTCCTGACACATCGGCAGCCGCGTTTTGCTCTCGGGATGGGGCTGTGGGCTGGACCCTGCAGCACAGACCACCACGACAATGGGAACCCTGCAGGGGCTCGGAGCTCCTGCCACTGATATTGCCAACCACCTCATCAGAAACAGCTTCCTTTGTGCAAGACAGCAAGCCCTGACTCCTGCTGAGTGCCTACCAGCATACACTGCTGCTATTTTTGGAACGGAAAATTGTCTGGCACATCGTTCTAGAAAGGTTGCCAACCCCTCATCTACACTAAAATGACATTTTCTCTATTGGCTGTTATTAACAAGAGAGATAAGCCTGAGAGAGAAGACCATGACTACCTGTTATTCTCTAACTCTTAAGCCCCACAGCACACATTTTTTCTCAAAAAGCTGGTCATGCTATTTTCCATCAGTTGTTAGATGCTCTGCATCCTAGGTAAACATTTAAGGCTTAACAAGTACAGCAAAGCTTCTCCAACCCCAAATGCAGGACAGTACTAGAAAACAAAATCTGATTTATCCTGTCCCATACTTCAACTTCCAGAATGATGCAGTGCAGAATTGCTTTTATAACAGGTTGTGGGCTTTGGCGAGTAGAGAACAGATGGGGCTTTTGGCATTCAGGGAGGAGTAGGTGTAAATTTTGTGCTTTTGGCAACCAAGAGGTAGTTGAGACTTTGACACAAGGGAAAGAATGTCTTATCTCCTTCCCATCCACATTTCTGGGGAAATGGAGACCACAGAAATGAAAGCAGAAGAGACCTGAAGTCCTCAGTCTGAGCCTCTCAGTCACAGACTGATGCTGGCTGTCCTCTGTGTGGTGGGAGTGCTCTGCCATGTACTCTGCAAACCCTCAAAGCCAGCATCTGCTGGAGGAAATACCTTCATGAAATACAGAAAAAGATGTTCTAGACCAGTTATTCATGTTAAGAGTATCCATGAAAGTATCCTGCTGAGGTGAAAGACAACTAAACCTGACCTGTGTACACCCTTGGATGCTTGGTAGTAGCCAACAATCTCCCACATAGTTGGAAGTCCCTAGACCTAGAGGCTTTACATTTAGCTCAGGTGTGGAAAAAGCTTAAGAAAACCAACATTTAAGTTGAAATAAACACCTTATTGCTTGTTCTACCACTAGAATTAAACTGGGGGTTACCCCAACTCAGTATGTCCTTCAGCCACCTGCATCCACCCCTCATGTTCCTGAACACAGCCTTGGGAAACATGAGGGAACATTTGCCACTCGTTGGGGCACTTGTTACTGCAAGAAACCAGTGAGAAAGCTCTCCTGTTCCCTTTAGCAACTGCTGCCCAATATTAACATCTGGAGTTATAACAACCAGCTTCATGGAGCACAGCAGTAGCTAAGTCAGATTTAAAAGAGACACTATGTTGGTCCAGTAGGGCCTATATGTTGTTTTTTTTCAGGAAAACATTTAACTGCCAAATGTGAAAGACAGGGCACTGGTTTAATCCAGCTTCTTTGTTCATATTTCACTACTTTGTAGCACACATTTCCTTTGTTTTTTTCATACATCTAGAATCCTAACCATTTCCAGAGACTTCTAATAATCTAGTTTCATACTCATCTTTCTTTCAAGTTCTTGGAAGCACATCTATTGTCAGTCAGACCAGTCTTTTAACTACTAGCCTTTTAGTCATATCTGCTTTACAAGACACAGCAATTCTGTCATCTCAAAGATCTTATCCCTCTCTCAAACATGCCATTCCACAGGAAACCATGGCAGAAGGTCCCTCTGCTATCACTATTCACCCTGAGCTGGCATCTGACAGCCATTATGTAAAGCTTGAATCCTAAACCCACAGTCCTGAATCAGGACAAAGTAGTCCTGTCTACAAGAGGAAATCAAGTACAGGGACTGGCTGTTCATGCATTTTAAGTATTCCTGCTAATACAGCTGCATCCTGGCATGCTAAATCCCTGGTGAATTTAAATCAAATTTAATTTGGATGACATTCCATGGCAACCAAATTCACACAGATCAGCCTCTCCTCCCAGAAGGCACCAGCTATCCCAGTATTTCCACATTTAACAGACAATAAAAACAGCTGACTTTATACTTCCTACTCTGAAATTTTCTTGAGCTTCTGTAGAATACTCCAGACCAACTTGATTTCTGTTCCTTAGCAGTTTTAGTCTGCTTTTCAGCTTTTGACTGTAGCTACAGTCACGTGAAATCAGACTACTACAACCTTTCAATGTTTCCCAATTTTCCACTATTAACTTCCTACCACCTCTACCATTTTGCAGTTCTAAGTCCACACAGCAGCACTACCAACCTATTACTGTAATTACCAGATGGGTAATTTCAGGCTTGCTTGCCAGGCTTGGCTCAACATCAATTTGAACTCTGCCTTTCACTGTAAAGGGACTCCCTGACCTACTGTAATGCTGAAGGAACACCTTTTATATTCTTAACTTCAGTCTAAACCTCAATCTAGTCAAAGATTAGGCAGACTACTACATTCTGTTGACAGGGCACTCACACTCCACCCATGATTTGATAGCCAAGCCCTTTTGTAAGAACAAGCAAGGTTACTTGATTTGCCAGTCAGTTTACGACAAAGAAATCAGTTACAGTACTACTTTGTCAATAAATGAAAAGAAACCAAAACAAGCCAGCCAGAACCATTTCTAAAATTTAACTTTTGTTATGGCCTGGTTTTATAGGTGATATGATTAGGAACTCTAGACAGGCATAGCCAACCAAACTAGCAAGAAGAGCCCTCATCCCAGTATTATAATCAGCATTCCCAAAGCATTTTATTCAACACTTCAAATGCACTTGGACACGTGAATTTCTTTGCACAGAACTGCAAAAAATGGAGATCTTTTTCCCTGACCATGGAGTTACCATTCAGTAACTACCACAGCGCTAAGGCAGAAACCCCAAAATGTTAGATCCCCCAAAGTACAATATGCCTCACTTGGGTAAAAAGCAATGCAAAAGGAAACAGCAGCAGACTTCCAAGAGGTCATGGCACAAATGCCTCAAATAATTTCAGCTTATCTATTTGAAATGTTAACCAAGAGAAGAATTTACATAAAGCCCTGTGAAAGGTCCGATCCGCAGCTATTCCCGTTGACAGCAGGAATCCTCCTTTGCTGGTATTCCCTGCTCAGTGCTGGACACACCATGGCTTTCTAAGCTAGCTGGCATCAGCCCCACGACCCCAAGCTCGTTCCCGAGCCCGAGCCGCGCCGGGGAATCTGCAAACAGGAAGGCCATTTGCTGACTCAGCAGTAATGGGGCTCTCTGACTCGCCTGTCACAGCTGACAGGGCCGCAGCACTGCTCGGCTGCCTCCCCCTCACCACTTCCTTCCCAAAACTGCCTGCAGCACTCCAACAAGAAGTGATGTCACACACAGGAACCCCACAAGAGGCAGCCCAGTTTTTTTCAAGCTAAACACTTAAGAAACAATGGAAGTAACCCAGTAATATCCGTATGGGAGTGCAGAGGAAAGGGGCGGCGCACACATCACGTTCAACTTTGCCATTTCTAGACATAACACAGATGTAACCAAGCTCATTATTTTCAGGTCCCAGCAAATTAATCAATTCATCAGCTAAAAAATAGCCTCCTCTTAAATAAGAGCCAAAGGAGAAGTGAGTCATGAAAGACCCAAGTGAAACACATGGATCTTTCAAGAATTATTTTGGTTAAAACCCAAGGAACAAAAGTTCCATTTCCAAGTGCACTTTTCCCTCTTCCCCCCACGAGCAGTCCACTTTTACTGCAATCAGTTTACAAACACATTTTATTCTTAGTTCCCACCACCGCAGCTCTAGGTGTGGTTTCTTCAGGAACAGGAAAAGCTCTGCACATGCTGTTCAAAAGGACAATGAGTTGGAATCTGAATTCCAACCAAGGAAAAGGTTAATATCTTGTGGGCGTCTGCTTCAGCAGAACTCCACACAAAGATAGCTGCTAAAGCATTTGTCCTAAAGGAAAACCAGGAGAAATCCTACTCTTCAATCTTCAAGCTGTTCATTAGTTATATATGACACTGACAGAGGGTTTGCACTCTGTGCTTCTGCAGTGCATTCAGAGGACAAACTTGGACAGGCACAGAGACAAGCTGTCTACTATATGCAGTCTAATAACTCCAGTTCTACCACTTGGAAACCAGCAGCAAAGGAATAAGACAAAGCCACCACAGAAATGCACAGAAGGGTGAGGAACTCTGAAATCCCAGTTCCAAACCTTGCCAGAATATCATCACCACCACAGTCAGTTCTGACACAGCTGAGAGAAATTTCACTGCACAGACCACACAGCCATCATTAGTTAATCAACTGCAACACTTAAATAGCTAAACCCCAACTCTGGACTACGAGGTGCAGACCCAAAGCTCCACAGCAGAAAGGCTGGCATTACTCACGTTGATGTAATAGTCCGGAAGCGTTCCTGGCCAGCTGTGTCCCAGATCTGGAGTTTCACCTTCTCCCCATTGATCTCAACTGTCCGGATTTTAAAATCCACTCCAATGGTGGTAATGTAGCTGCCTGCAGGGAAAGCGTGGGTAAGTGAGAACCTAAGTCTTGTTTATTTTGGATGTCCCAGAGCACACTTCTTGAACACTACTTGGCAGCAGCTCTCAGACTGGACAGGAGAACAAGGTTCCCCATATCTGCTTAGTGTTTAAAATGCTTTATATCATGCTGATCTACATATTTTTGTCTGCAGCTAACAGCTTTTTCTTCCTGGCCATAAAACCACTTCTCCCATGCCACCTTTAAAATTTAAAGCTCAGCGTAACAAAATAAAATTATTATTTTTCTATCCCATTGATCAAGAGTACGCACCCAAATATCTCAAGAAATAGACAGTAACTATGAGAGCATTTCACTTGTGAAAATTTTGAGACAACACTTTGCTTTAAATACTTGTGGAAACACTTATTCTGAATACAGTCTGTTCTAGGAGTTCCCTCCCAATACACTGGTTATATCACAAATGTAAGTGGTTTACCACAATACTCAATCAATCTAAATCCCAAATGGCTAATGGGAAGTCTGCAGAGTATAGCATAGCCCAGACCACCTAAGCTCTTTCTGGAACCACCTCAGTATTTCAATGCTCAGGGACTTCCAGCTGTGAGTGAAGATCAGGCAGGACGGCCTGTACAGGCTTATACCAAGAGATGCAAAGTTAAAAGCATGATGTATCCCCAGCACAGCTATCAGTGGGCAAACACAGATTCCTTACCAACCAACAGCAAACCCAGAGCATTTCACTCACTGAAGGAAACAAACCACTCACCTGAGAAGGTATTATCTGCAAAACGCAACAGCAAACTGCTCTTGCCCACACCTACAACAAACAAACACAGCAAATCTTTCAATACAGTCATCCTGGGGGTCAGGAACATAAAAGTATTTTAACCATCCATTGCATAAAAAATCAGCACATCATTTATTACCATCCACCCTGACTGCTCATCTCCACACTCTCTTGGAGATGTGACCAAGAACAGTCACCCCAAGACTCAGGATGCTCCTGGTACAGTGCAGGGAGGGGGGACTTGTGCCCTCCCTCCTCCAGCCCTCAGCAAACCCTCCAACAGCATCTTCTGAACTGTGGTCAGTTCAAGAGGTCAGAGAAGAATAATAGAAGTTCACAATCAGTAGGCTTACATCTGCTAGGGAAAGAGCCAAAGCCAAGCATGTCCTGTGAATTCACAAGTGCTCAGAACACTGCTCTGAATTCAGCACTCTGTTGAATTCCACTTGCACATCATGTGTGACGTCAGTAACGCCACTGCCTACCTCGCATTCTGGGTGGAATTTGGACTGCTCTGACAATCACACCAGGGCTCGGTACTACACAGCTCACATTAGCATGGCCACAGTCTAACAGAAGCCTAAACCAAGCAGGAATTGGGAATCACTGTCCTGTACTGCCATCCAAAACAGCCTTGCTCCACATCTCACAGGAAGGACACACACCTTTCTGAAGCTGTCCCTGTTGCCAAAATGTGCCATGAAACATTCCTCTAAATGCTTTGAGTAGCTCTTCATCCAGGTTTTCCATAACTGATTGTTTGCACCCTCATCACACCCTGTTGCAGGGAAGCATTTTTCACAGTGCTTCAGACAAGAGCTGTAAGAAACTCATTCCTGCACACCCATCCAAGGCAATCTGGGTATCTAAATGCCTCCATGTTGTTATCTCTGCGTAACATCTCTGCTGTTAATGACCCTTCCTCCCCAAAATAAATCTGCTATGGCATGAATAGAAAATTCAACTTCACCGAGGTAATTATCTATTAAATCTTTCCAGGTAGAAGTTATTCAAGGTAATTATTTTGATGATTTATAACTGGCAAGTTTTTCTAACAGAAGACCTATGCAAGGGCTATGCAAAAGTAGTTCTCAGCTATTGGCATGTGACAACAGCTACCAACAAAAAATAAAAATGAGCCTAAAAATCTGCATGATTACAGTAAGCCAGGTCTCATTTGCAAAGAGTTCAAATCATCAGCCATCTGGAGAAGCCATGCTCACTCCTCATTGCTACCAAGCTAAGGAGGAAAAGAGGAAAGGGACTAAAAAATACAAAGCTACAGCTTTGTGTGATTATAATCAATACATCTGAGCTCAAAAAGGGTAGCAGAGCAGTTCCTGTACTTCAGAGGACTGGTTATTTAGCTCTGCAAATACCAGTCAATTAAGAAAAAGTAAGAAACTAAGAGAAAACAAGGATGTTTCAGCAGCAGGTGCTGTGCTTCTTGACCAAGCAGCCTTGGCCTTCAGCTCAGGGCAAGGCAAGAAGGTGCCAGAAGCCAGAGGCCTGTGAAACCACAGCACCATGTCCGAGCTCGGGCAGCCCTGGGCGGTGCTGCAGAGCTGCCCATGACACTGCTCTGTCACACTGCCCTCCACTGCACAAGCTGCACGGCTCCCAGCAGCCTGGCAGCTTCCAGAGAGAAGAAAGCTCCCGAGCTCAGGAAGTTCTGCATGCTCCCAGTGACAAGGATGTCACCAAACAAACGCTGCCTCTGACCCACACTGTTCACGCACAGAGAAACCACACTCTTGGTGACCCCACACCTCCCACACAGAGCTGTCTGAACATCTGAAGAGAAGGCTTGCAGGGCCCTCAGCTTCTTGAAGACAGCAAAATGAAACAAAACAAAGCAAAAAGACCTATTGACTTTGCACAATTAAAATTAAATTTCAGTGTCAGACAAGAATCTAAGACCCATATCTTACTGAACAGTAGAGTGAATTAAAGAAGCAGATGCCAAGCACAGATCATCTGTATTATTTTTAAATATCTGGCACAGCTGAAATCACCAGCAGCTTTTCAAGATGACCTGTTCTAAAAACACACAAACCTACTGCCCTTCTGACAGATTTGCATACAGGGGAAAGCAGATGAGACAGAATTATCCTATCCAGTAACAGTCCACTTCCTATTGCAGGGAATAGATGTCAATAAACAAGGCAAGCAAACTGTTTAGTGCAAGCAGGGACAAAGCATCCTGTTGGGGTTAGCAAAAACAAAACCAAAGAAAAATCAATAGTCAAACTACATAGTGAGATTTAATTACAGCAGAGAACCACAAGCAGCCTGACAATTCTCACAACACTCCTTTCACTGGATACACTACGGGGATTCTGCTCAAGAAGACTGAGCTCACAAAATTTATTTAATTGTTTAAAATGAGAAGTCTTCCTCAGAGTTTTCACCATCCTGTTTATCTTGCCTGAACAGTTTTGGAACTCATCAGCAACCAACAGAGCCACTGCTCTGCTCAGAATGCAGCATTTGGTTGCAATAATCCAAGGCTCTCAGAGCTGCCCGGGGTTTAAGCTGCTCTGAAGCTGCTGTCCTGTCTCCCTCCTTAGATCCCTTCATGCAGACTCAGTTTAGTGTAGAAAAAAACATTTTTTTACACGAAGCTAAAGCTTCTGCAGGTGACAACTGCCAAGATCGTGCAACATTAGCCTTTCATCAGGAGCTGTGCCTCGCTGCATGCCGGGACCTGCCGCCCCACGGGCCACACCTCTGTTCAAAGAAGAGGGTGGATGCACCCTTCTCCAGCTTATGGAAATTCAGCTGCAAGCTGCTGGAGTGCTACCAACACCGAGCTGCACCGACGGCAGCAATCCTGCCAGCCCCAGCTCCTGTGAACCCAGACCAAAGCACCAGACACTGGCACAGTTCACACGCTCGGCTCTCCAGAAGTTTCTGAGGTTGCTGCAGAAGTATTTATAGGTCTATTTTCAAAAAACACCTCAAACTACACCTTTATCTCCTGCTTTTATATATTTGCATCCTATGCTATAACAAGAAGCACACAAAGCTACCAGCTCTTCCAGGATTTATTTAAAAAATTAAGGAACTCTAGAACTGAGACTCCAGGCTGAAGCACAGAAAAAGTCTTAAAGGAATAATTAAGATAATAATGACTGTTAAAACGTCCTGGCTGCCACACTGGAAACAACAGTCCTTAGGGCAGCCAGCCCTTCCCATCGATCCCTAAACTGCCTGTCACAGGGGAAGGGAATTCCCTCCCCATCCCAGCAACAGATTAGTGGGCGCCGTCAAAACACGCGCTCGCCAAGGTTGATGCCGGCAGCACTGCCGGTGCTGTCCTGGCTTCTACGTGTCTAATCTGCCTTTTCCCCAGCCCAGCCGAGCTATTTACCATAACATCCTGCGGTAGCCAGTTCCGCAGGTTCATCAGATAAAAGCCCCCGCAGCCCGAGCGAACGCGCCCCGCCGTTCACGCCCAGCGCGGGGTCCCGGTGCGGCACCGGCAGCACAACGCCGCGGGTGCCCCGGGCGGAGGAGCCCGCCCGCCCCCGACCCCCGCGCCGCCCGCCCGCGCTCACCGCTGTCGCCGATGATGAGCAGCTTGAAGAGGTGGTCGTAGTCCCGGGCCATGGCCGGGCGCGGCCGCGGGCGGCGGCCATGGCGGGAGCGTGAGGGAGCGGCCGCCCTCCGCCTCCCTCCGCGGGAACATTGTCCTCCCCCCGTGCCGAGACACCGCCAGACCGCCAGCGGGCCCGTGCTTCCCCTTTAATTCCCGTAGGGGCTCGTGTGAGGACGCGGCAGAAAGCGATGCTGCCCCCAGGACAGTGTCAGAGGCGTGAGGGAGCCGCGGCACTCCCAGCTCTGCTCCCAAGGAGCGATTTGTGTAGGTGCAGGAACGGCTCCCAGCGCAGCCCAGGCCGCAGGTGAGGAGCCCCACAGCGGTGATATGAAGTGCCCAGGTGTGTGTCACAGGCCTGGCAAGTCAGGCCAGTCTGAAATTAAATGCCTGGGGTTTTTAATCGAGAGATGTGCCTGAGTATGGCTCCGGAAGGGCTTTGACCTCACGCCCATCAGCAGCTGTGCTTGCACCGTCCCCAGCCCACATCTGCAGGTCAAAGGCACTCCCAGTCGTCCAGCAGCCACAGTGATTTTGTTATCAGTTGCACAGACATTAACTACACAAATTCTGCCAGACTATGGTGACTTTTTAGGTGATTGCCACTTCGAAGTGGAGACATGGCACAAGAAGAGCTGGGTTTTGCTCTGATTAATTTTTCTTTAGAAAATCATTCTCACTGGTACTTGAACTCCTGAGATCAAGTTTGAATTATTGAATGAAACCTGTTACTAACATGCATTGTCATCCAGATGGGAAGAGGTATATTAGCACTAAATAACTTGGACTGTTAGAGATTATAAATGAGACTGTGTTAGGAATAAATTGTGAGGCCCTGGCACAGGTTTGCCCAGAGAAGCTGTGGCTGCATGGCACAAGAAGAGCTGGGTTTTGCTCTGATTAATTTTTCTTTAGAAAATCATTCTCACTGGTACTTGAACTTCTGAGATCAAGTTTGAATTACTGAATGAAAGCTCTTACTAACATGCATTTTCCTCCAGATGAGAAGAGGTATATTAGCACTAAATAACTTAGACTGTTAGAGATTATAAATGAGACTGTGTTAGGAATAAATTGTGAGGCCCTGGCACAGGTTTGCCCAGAGAAGCTGTGGCTGCCCCATCCCTGGATGTGTCCAGGGCCAGGCTGGGTGGGGACTGGAGCAGCCTGGTCTAGTGGGTCATGTTCCCCTTAATTATAAACCTTTCTTAACCTTAACCTTCCAAAACATATTATAGTTTACAAAGTTCACCCTGTCAAGGTCTCGTATCCTGGAATCCACCCATGTGGATTCAGCTCACATTCACTCTGCAATTTTAAACACCATATATATAGATATAGGTGATAGATGGATAGATAGATGGATAGATAGATAGATAGATAGATAGATATATAGATAGATAGATAGATAGATAGATATCACTCACCCAGACAAGCACTGGGGCAATCCAGCACCACCTGAGTAACTGAGGACACTGTAGCTGCAGGGAAACCCCTTGAATCCAGCACACAAACCACCAGCTCAAACCCAAAATGACAGTGACTCCCATTACTTCTGTTTTTAAGCCCATGAAGTGTCATGATGTTACTAAATAAAATGGACAGTAAGAACTGTGACTAATCAAAAAAAAAATCAAAATATTTGAGTATTTTATGCTTTTACATTTGTCTCTCTTCCATTGTAATTTTTAGCACCTTGTAAGCTTAAACCTCTCATAAATTATTTTTTGATCTTCTTGAAATACACACAGTTCAGCTGTCACTCAGAGACAGTTGCTTGACAGTTCAAAGATATTATTACCATCAGTTGTAGGGAAAAATTATCTTTTACTGACAACTGGTATTTTTAAGACATTTGAAATAAGAAAAAAATTAATTCTTTAGTCTCCAAGTTGGCACAATCAATTTATCAGGTCTCATGTTGTGGCAAAAATTATGGGTATTTTATCTCTGATATATTATACTGCAATGTATAAATAGTTTAGCAAAAGTAGCTATCAGAATCCAAATTGAGTATTTCACTGTGACTGAAAAATCAGCATATTCTCCACACGTGCAAGTGAGCTCCTACCTTTTACTCCTCCCTCTCAGGAACAACTAAGCTCAGTGCAGAAATTCAGGTGCTGTTTGGGAAGCTGAATGAGTTTTTCCACGTGCTGCTACCTAAGCTGGAAATAGAAACCATCAAAATAATAAAATATCTTATTGGCTGAAATGAACAAGTTAATAAAAAGGCTTCATTTACCTGTAATTTTCTTTCCCACGTTTATGTGGAGCATCAATTGGAATCAGAATAGGTAAGCCAAGGTGCCCCTGATCAAAATCTCAAACAGCCATTCTTCACCAAAACTTGGCACTTTTCCATTCCTTCCTGGCTGCAGTGATGGGGTGAGTGATTCCAGTACAATCACTGAGCTTTTTGACACCTGCTTAGTGGGTTTTGAGTGGCATCAAATTTTGTACGTGTTTCAGGGCAGAGGTTTTTGCATTGCATGGTTTAGCTGCTGTTCCTGGGATCCCAAAGCACAGCTAATTCATCACAGGTGAACTCATTCCAGTGCCCCAGTGCCAAATCTTTAAGAGTATTTATCTGAGTTTTCACTCTTGAGTATTACCGACTCAGTGCAAAATATGTAGTTTTAAGATGATTTCAGGTTCACAACTATTTTGAAAGGCAAAAATCTGAATTAAAACCCACCTTCAGAATGCAGCTAAATGTGATGAAATAGAACACAATTTCCATCAGACCAACTGGGAAATGCTGCAGTTTTGTAAAAATATGTCCAATGCATAAATACAAGATTAAAGTTAATTAACTAAAGAGCAATTTTGTAGCTTGGCTTCATAGCTGATCACAAACTAAACATGTCCACGACATGGTGGTGTTGCAACAAAGGAACACCCAGACCTTGTGCTGGGGTGGACAACTGAGTTTGTTTTGTGGGGCTTGCAAAACAACTCCCCAGGAGACCTGGGCCAGCAGTGGGCACCTCGAGGCAAAGAGGAGTCAGAATGAAACAAACCAACGTGAGGGGCAGCACTGTCAGTTTAGAAAACATGGAAATCTCTAAGGAAATACATAGAAAATCTAAATTTATTTCATCCAGGGGTGAGGACACTGAAGTGTGGTTGCTGCAAAAATGAACTCTTTTCACTGTCTGTGGGAACAGGACAAGCAGCAATGGACTCAAGCAGCAGCAAGGGAAACTTTTTCTTCAGACATGAGGTAAGTTCTGACAGTCTGCTAAGTTCATATAACAACTAGATGGCATAGAGAGGTTATGGATCTCCATCCTATAATGCTATATAAACCATTGTGTGGCAGTCAGCTAAGAATGGTTTAGGAGCTGAGGCTATCTTAGGTACAGGGTAAAATAGCTGATTTCCCAAGTTCCTTCCCCTAACTCCTACAGCAAATCTGTTGTCAGGATGCCACACCACAGGCTGGGAACTGACACAGCACCAAGAACCTTTTGTCAGATTTTTGTACTTCTGAGCAGAACAAACCACAGCACTCCCAAATACCTGCTCACCATTGTATCTTGCTGTTTGAGGCACGAGTCTGATAAAAATGTTCTTGTGTTTGCTGCCACTGCCGTAACAATCAGAAAATTGCTTCTAGCAGAATGTGTGTTCCCATGGGGTTCCACTTCATGCTCTCAAATTTCATGTGTTGTGTGTTCTCCCATCATCATGGTTTGAGCCATCCAGAGTTACAAGCAAGGAAGATTGCATACACACACCCCACCCACATGAAATAACAAATCTTAGTGCTCTGTCTTCTCAGGTGCAATCAGCTTCAGTGAGTTTCCTGAAATAGGTAAGGCTCACATAACTATTGCTCTACATGAAATGTAAAGCTCATTTAGCCTTCTAAAAATTTGTGTTCTGCAACAAGATTTTCAGCATTTCCATCAAGTGACATCAAATCCACTACTAAATTGTTGGGTTTTTTTCCAAGAGTGATATATGTGGCCAGGTAAAATAAAACTTGCTTGGAGCAGCACAACTCATTGACTAAAAGGCCTAATGCCAAGTATTTTGTGAAGCCTTTGAAGACATAAATACAAAGGACTTTTTGCAAGTTGGGTAACTAAAAAGCTGTCTGTAGTCAAAAATACTTTGGAAATTAACAGGAGCAATTATTTACAAATTTCATTAAATGTCAGTTCTGCCTTGGCTTTAAACCCTGTCTTGCCTCAGTTCTGCAAAAGGTTTTCACAGATCACAGCATGTCCACTCTACAAACTGTATGCCCTAGAACAAACAGGTCTGAAAGGTAAATCATAGTTTGTTGACAAATGAATTTGTAGAAAGAACAGTTTACATCAGAAGGATCAAAGTCAGAGCCTTTATTAAATGTTCCTTCTCTAAACAGACTGCATTTAATCCCCCTTTCGCATCTGTGATTTCTAAGGCTATTTTAAATACTTTGTCTTACAGGGATTTTCAGTCTGCAGAACCGTCACAAGCAGCAAGTTAGCAGTACACAGAAACAATACAACTGAACTTTCACTGAGTTCTATTCCTGCCTCCCAGAGTGCGTGCAAAAACCAACAATATCTCCAGTACTGGAGTTTTTGCACAGACCCTGGAAAGGAAATAGTTGTCACCAGAGATTAAGCCTGATGTGCTCTAGCCACATCTCACAATTGGCCACAGCTGACCAGTATTGGTTAGTATGTCTGTTTCAAAAAGGGGACCAAATTTTTAATTTTCATCTAGTGTGGGTCTAATTAAGGCTATTCTGGTATATTTGATACTAAAATACTCTCTGGGAGTCCTTTTCATGAAATCCCATCAGAATTAACATTTTCAAAAATGAAAACATTTATAATAGGTGTTGGAGTTGAAATGCTGATGCAGCGGTTGGTTCAGTGTTTCCTGGTCTTCTTTATCACGTCAGGATAGTGTCATCAATCTGTTCCTCAGAGTCAGCCTGCCCTGCCAGCTTCCGCAGGGACCTCCTGCAGCTTTCATTGAGCAGCTCCAGGCTGGCAGCATCCAGAATCTTGGAAACTGACTGTGGAGGGGAGACAGCAACAATTACCAACTCCTTACAACACACCATTCAAAATCAGAGTGAGTGTAACTGCCTTAGGCACTGCAGCAACTAAAATCTTTCAAACGTCCCAAAAGTCTCCAGCTGGTTTTACAATTCCAGACGTGGGAACTATCCAAAGGCAGGTCAGACTTAAAAAACAGGTCTGGAAATGGATGCACGAAGTGGTCTATCCTAAATACTTCCTAGCACCACTGTGATCATCCAAGTGACTAAAGCAATGCATTATCAGTGCCAGCTCAGGGAACTCAACA